TTGCGGAAAGCCGAGCCCAAGGACGTGTCTGACATACTGCGACTCATAAAGGTAACCAGCGAGGGCCGGTGAACTGCTGCTTGAGAGCAGTAGGCGATATACGATGGGAAATGAGTCTTAAAAACATTTTATTCGCGTCTTCCATGTGTTTACCTTATTATTCTGTGGATGTTTGTGTAATATATCCGGTGTAATATATCAAATCGGCCCCTTAAGCACTTTCAGTCTTATTAACATGTACGCTGGCCCTGTTTGTTTTTCGTACAAGCCTAACTTTTGCTAATGCGAAGCCGTCAGAATGATTCCCGTTTTCTGAAGCGACAAAACGCCACGATCGTCACGATTCCGCTTTGGTTACATTTTCTGTTTGTCCGGCGAGAGCTTCCGCTAAAATGAGCCCAGACCGCAGAGATCAGAGCTGCTTACGAGCTTGAAGACCGCTGGAGCTCTGTCTGTGAATCCGCACCACTGTCTGTTCTGTGATTCATATATATATATATTTTACTGTAACTGTAAAACACTTGATGAGCGGGATGTTTAACGGTGTTAAATTTAGTATATTAAACACGCCGTATATTTTCGACGGTTCGAGAACACCCCTTTTTGGACAGTTCTAGCTGTCGGATTTAGTGGACCCTCTCTGAAAAGCGCCGAGCTCGATCAGTTAAGTGCCGTTGCCCGACTGATAACTTTTGTTTCGTCTGTCCTGTTTTTTTTTTCCCAGGAACTTGCGAAATTCGAGGAAATGGAAGATCAGGTCGTCTTGACCGAGAAAGGTAGGAGCGGTGGGACACGGCCTTTTGAGATGTGGACAGCCGTCCCCGGTATTATCCCCGGTATTAACCCCTCTCTGCCCGCGCCTCCGGTCTCTCCGCAGAGCTGCTGGAGGACGGGTTTGGGGAGTTGCCGTTCTACCACTGCATTGTGGCTGAAGTTCCCGAGGAGCAGCAGACAGCCGAGGGTACGGATTGTAAACCTCTTTTAAACACGTGTACAGTATGTGCGCTCGGCGACTTTCGTGCAGAGTCAAAGGTTAGTTTCAACCTCAAAACACATCTAAGAACCGTTTAAGAGAACAAGGAAGTGAAAGGGAGTTCAGAGTCTCTGTTCAAGTTCCAAGTCCAGTCCTGCTGAGTCAAATGGTTTCTAGTTTTCCAGCCATGGCCCTTAATAACCTGATTGAGCACACACACGTTATCTGTGTAATTGGACTGTTTGAAGCCCTTCCTTGTTCTTAAGAAGCTGGAGATCTAGATCTATAGACCCTGCTGGACTGTGGCCTTGAAGGACCAGAGCTGAGTCCCCATGCTAGGGGGATTTCTCTGACCTGCGTGGGCTCAGCTTGGCTGTACAGTATGTCTTTGCTGGACACTGGCAGATTTCTAGCAAAGGCTAACGGGAAGAATCGCCAAATTTAGATTCTAGGACCTACTGTACGTCTCAGAGGGGTGATGGAAACTACGACACTCAATACATCACATTGCCTTTCGCTCCTCTTCAGAGTTTGATTTTAAAAGGTCTTCTGAAAGTATTTTCTCTAACTTGCCACCGGTTTTCAGATTACAGTCTGTAGCTTTGCTGTGTGCTGTTATCCGTTCAGCAGAAACATACATGATCATAACGCGTCACTGTCCAGAGAGTACATTACGTCTGACAATCCTGTGTACATACAGTGGTGACAACCTTTGTCTGAAACGGGTTTTTCTTGTTACTGATGCCTCTTCTAAATTATTAATAAAACAGTGTCCCAGTCAAAGGAGGAGGCAGGTAAACTGATCTAGTCTGGCACGGCCATTGCTTTTTGGGTAAAGGCTGCCCTCATTTTCTGTAATTAGAGATCCCTGCACCTCTTCCCAGCTGGCCAGATAGTATGATGGTCAGGTGTCCTTGTCTTGCCTGGTGAAGCCACTATTATTATAAGCACAAGCAGCTTGGTATTTTTTTTATAGATGGGTGTGGCTGTTTAATGATGCTTTCACAGGAACGTTCAGCGTGCCAAAGAGAAATGACACTTCTTTCCTAAGAGTCATTCAAATACGGAGTTCTGTAATTCTTCTGGCAATGACAATGAATGCTTCAAGACTCATTGAAGGTTTCCTTCTGCTTTAGGTTACACTGTCGTGGGATTTGCCATGTACTACTTCACCTACGACCCCTGGATTGGAAAACTGCTGTACCTGGAAGACTTCTATGTCATGAAGGAATTCAGAGGTACTGTGTGATCGTCATTAACAAATGAGTGCCTATGTCCTGAAATGCCAGCATTATTTCAGTTTTGCCAGATATGCTGACTAGTCCTGCGCTGCCTGTTTTTCAGGGTATGGAATAGGATCAGAAATCCTGCGGAGCCTCAGTGATGTAAGTGCTTTTGTTTCGAACGCCTGTCTGCTTTTCCATTTTCCAGAACGTCACACACAGATCTCAGAGCCGCGTGCCACAGAACTCCTTTTGCACCAACGCAACGGACCCTGACCCGCTGCCTCGGTCCGATGGACTCCGTGTCCGAGTTTCTGTCCCGGATGTTGGAAGGGACGAACCGTGGAGAGGCAGGAGAGCGAGAAGACCCTATGCGTAGTGGCGAGACGGGGCTTAGCCCGGGCTCAGCTGTTAGGGGAATGCCGTATAGAAACCTTTGCCCTCAGGTAGCCGACGTGGGGCGACCTGGTGGTAGGCGGGTCTCAGGACATCCGAACGTCAATGCTGAGCGAAGGCAGACTGAAAGACCCGGAAGTATATAGCCCCAGAGAGAGAGGGAGAGACACCGGAAGGAAAGCCGAGAACCGGAAATGAGAGATAGGACAGAGAAGGAGCGCCCGATCTGTTCCCGATCTTATTATTATTTCCTCGTGTCGTTCCGCCAGACCGCGGTGAAGTCGCGCTGCAGCAGCATGCATTTCATCGTGGCCGAGTGGAACAAGCCCTCCATCGAGTTCTACAAGCGGCGCGGCGCCTCGGACCTGTCTCTGCAGGAGGGCTGGCGGCTCTTCGAGATCGAGAAGGAGTACCTGCTGAAGATGTCCGCCAAGAAGAGCTGCAGTCAGTGAAGCCCTGGCCCACACGCAGGAGGAGGGCTCCAGTTCTTCTGTGACAACGCCTTCTAAGAATCTCTCGCTCTCTCAAATTTGTATTTTTATTTTTTCTAAGAATGCACGACTGCTGATTGTTTTATGTTTATTTGAAAATGTGTATCAGAAGTAGTTTTGACAGCTTTCAGTCCCTGCAAGGTGCACAGAATTAGCGTGATCTTGGGAAGCTGTTATCAGTCAGAAGGGAGTACTGTTTTTGTCTTTTTAATTCATTTTTGTATTCTGTGCTTTCCAAGAGGACTGTCAGATCACAATGGAAGAGGTAAAAGTAGTGACCTTTCGTTTGTCGTAAGAGTGGTAACATCCATTGTGTGAGGTCTTGATGTGATTAATAAAGTTCTGTAGAAGACCATGGTTTTCTGGAAATAACTGACGCATGCCAGCGACCGCAGTTACCATCATTCACGTTGGATGTTTCTCCTGTTGAAAAGCAGAGCCTTTAGGGCTCTTCCAGTGCACCGCTGACCTCCTCTGTTTTGAGAACAGCGGTTCGATTGCGCAATCTGTGTGGTCATGTGTTCCCTCCTTCTCATGCTTCAGAGCTTCTGATGCAGCTCCACAGCTGCTGCCACTGCCAGAAACAGGAAGTGACCGGCTCCTGTGATGATTTTGTGCAATTATTATCTACAAAAGTAGTTCAATCTGGGATTACAGGCTGGGCACATCAAAAATAACTGTCGAGTCCCAGAGATGAAAAGTGCTGCAACAGCATTTCCCACCTCACCTGAAGCTGGTCCTTTATCAAGTGGAGAGGTCCAATAATTGCATTACAACTTGGAGAAATGTGCACGCACACACAAACCACCGATTGTTACTTGGAAAGACAGTGGCTTACTTTAAGAAGGAATGCTTGCTTTCTTGTTGATTTACTATGGAGCCTGGAAAACTGAGGGGGGGGGACAAAGATTTCATGATGCATTCTTAAAAATCGCAGCCCCCCACCACCACCTTTATTTTCCACTGGTATGGCACGCCTGGGTCTGCAGGAAGGGAGAAGAGTGAGCACACGGCTTCCAGACATTATATTTTTATAAAATTATATTAATAGTAACTAGATACTATAAATATACATATTAATGGATACTATAATATATATTAATATAAATAAAATGTAATATATTTTATTTTTTTATATAAGTATTATATATCATAATCGTAAAGAATCGATTATGAATATATTATTAGTGTTTCAAGTCTTCGTCATCAACAGAAATCTGAAACTTGAAAGCTAAACAGGCTGTGTCTGTGGCTGGCCTGCGATTTCCATTCTAGATCGAGGAAGATGGTGCCCAAGCCATGTGCTCTACTGGTCGCACCAGTGAAGCCTCAAAAAAGGTCCTTCTTCTCCGGGTGTGCTCTACGCCCTGACAGAACCTGTGCTCATCTCGACTCGGCCGATTTTCCACCCCTTTAACCTTGCCGCCGAGCTCAGGCGAGGAAGGGAAACGGAGCCACCGCGGACACTTTCATCCTTATCGTGTCGGCAACAGCGCAAGTGACCATTTCCCGGGACTCGTTCAACGGAATCAGAAAAGAAACTGTTTTGAATCGATCGCAAAGTGTACGACGGGAGGTCGGCCGCCGTGCGATATTCGGCGCTCGCGAGTACAGTATTTTGTTTTGTGCTGCAAGGAGTTGTGTGTTATGTTTTGTGTGTCGCCGTCCAATGTGGAGGCCGGGGCTTCTGCGGGGCTGCTCTGCTTGAGCGCCGGATCAGCTAAGGGACTAAGGCGCTTAGAGACAATCTCCCGAACAGGCTCAAGAGCTTCTGGGGGCTAATCCCTGCTGCTGTCCCACTTCCCCTGCCCCGTGCGCTCGCAGGCCTACCACACAGCTGCAGCCCGTGCGTCACGCCATTTCGGGAAGTTGCTCCAACAAAAAAAACTCCCGGTTCCATGCAAGGCAGTAAAAGCCTATGATAAGCGTGGCCTAAAACAGCACACAGTATTCCTCCTGCACCAACCAGCCCTACCGCATCCTTTTAAAAACGTTCTGGTATATTGAGATAAAGTGCCCCAGTCTTCCAGCCACTGACGATGTCTGACAGCAAGGCCACGGGGCGGAGAGGGAGACGTGGGGCAGGGGAGTGGACGTCAAGGCCTGACAAGCTGTGAGAGGAGGGCAGTCCAGTCGGCTGAGGGGAAAGTGGTTTCCAATGAAGAGGAAAGCTGCTGGGAAACACTGTCTGCAGGGGAACCCAGACTGAAGGAGCCAGGCAAAAAACAAAAAAGGTCAGCAGTTCCTCCCAGAGGAGAATCGTGGTCGAGAGCTGTTTAATTCTTTACATAAATACAGTAATTACAAGGAACAAGCCAAGCCAGGGCAGCCGGAAGTCAGCCTCGGCGATGGCGCGGCCTGGGCTCTGGAGACGGGCTGTGTCGAGAGGGCAGGTGCAAGGGAGA